CCCCAGTCAGTCCAGTTCCTGAGCCAGGGTGGTCCGCAATACTCCTGATGACAGCATAGCCAGCCTGGCTCATCGGCAGGACTTGGAAGGGCAGACCAGTCACTGGGTACATGGAGTCATCCCACTCAGCTCCTGTTAACCCTATAAGCCAAAGCCCTAATGGGTAAGGCGGTCCTAGCTGGACAAGCAGTGGGAAAGCTTGCCAGTCAGTGCTCTCAAAAGCAAGGCATGCGGTTTTAGCTGGTTAGGCTTCAACGGACTCTCTGGGGTCCTAAAGCCTTGGCTCTTTGCCAACTTGTGCCTAATACTCTCTGGAATTAGGTAAACAGGATTCATCCATCCAGGTAGAGAGTACGCTTTCCATTCCAATAAATATCTCTGGAATTTCCATGTATAGGTGGGATGCAGGCAGCTGTTTTCTTTAGATACTCTTAAACGTGTCATACACCTGGCTGACCAAAAAATAAAGAAGGAATTTTGTCTTGGTGTCCTGGCCACCAGTATTCCAAAAATAGTCATTTACTACATGGATGTTTGTGGGACATTACTGTGTGCATATTGGCTCCCGTGTGTGCCTACAAGGTACACAGTTGCTCACTCCACTTTACAGTAAATCCTGTGAAGCACTTTGAGCTCTCCTCCACATGTGAAAGGCACTATACCAAATGCAAGGATTATTAAAGCAGTTACACTATTATCCAGCTGAGCTGGATTTGATTCAAGGTCTTGAAGTGGAGTTTGGTCCTTTTGTAACGCATTTCATTTCTCCCTCTTTTAACTGTTCTTTAACTTTTTTGTTCATTCACACAAGTTGAAATCTGCGAGAGTGGGAGGGCAATGCATCAAATAAATTTCCTTTTAAAACTACCTAATTCAGCATTGAATTTGGGGAGGTCGGGCATAACGTTCAACATTCTGTGCTATTTCTGAGCACTGATATGCTTCACGAATGAGCAAGAGTGGATAACAGCAGCATAGATCATGTTGTGCTGCTTTGTTCTTAATGCAAGAAAAAATTAACTAAAAATTAAGTTTAAAGTTATTTTTTGACCTAAGCAACTTTTAGTTTATTGACGTTTGATTCACAAATCCTTTTTTAGAGTAAGTATTTCTTGGAGTATTATTTTGAAGAGAAAATTGAAATACAGTATTCTTTCAGTGGATGGTGCAGGACCAGGTAAGATTCTGCCTTAAAAAGAGGCATCTCACCGAGGACTTTTTAGATAATTGGTCACTCAATCTACGACTGTTTATGGGCCGCTGCTGTGCATAATTGGCTGCCATGTTTCGCCCACAAAATATATAGTCCATTCACTTTACAGTATATTATGTGCAGCGCTTTGAGACATCTCGAAGACATGATAAGGTGCTATATCAAATGCAAGGATTATTATTATATTACTTAACAGGTTAGAGAAAGCAAATACACCAAAGCATCAGAATAAAAGGGCAGGTTCAGGGAGAAATGTAAAAAAATTGTTTTTTACCCAGAGGGTTACAAGTGGATATTGTAATAGTGGATTATTAGAAGGGATAGTTGGGGCCAAGACACTGGACTAACTTCAACTACTGCTTGAATTTGTAGAGATTTGTATATACAGTTAATGATTAAACTAAAAGAAGATTAAATAAAATGGACCATACTTCAAAAAGGGTGTTCTTCTTACAACCTTTTTTGTGACCTTAAAGGTGACTGGTGACTGCTTGAATTTGAGTAACACATCTACCACAAAAATGAGTAAAATACTATATTTTTTCAAACCCATTTTATTTGTGGATTGTATGCAAAAGCTAGTTGTCCTAAAATGGTGTTGGGTTTCTACCTTATCCTTTTTAATAACTCTGGTGTGATCTTATTACATTTACTTTTACTTCCCCATAACTTACCCTCAGAATCAGTGTCATTGCTATTTGCAGATGAGTTGTGTCTGGAAAGATAAGAGCTGCCTGAGAGAATCTTACAAGGTTAATTAATGTTAAGAATCTTTTATCATCAACTTGGCAGGCAATTTTCTCTTGAGGTTTACAGTGCAATTGTAATTGCAAAATTCAGGCCATCCTTAAAACCATATTGTCTGCAATAGGAATACTTTTGAGATTTATTCACTACCCTTTGCTAGTGGCTTTATCTGAAGAACATTAATAAATGTAAATCTTCATGCTTGGGAGTGTTTACCTTTTGCTGCTGGGAACTGTTGATGCCTAGATAATTGATTTTTATGTATGCAATACGATTTGCTCATTTAATTGACTTCCCAGTGTTGGTGAGCATTTAGGCTGTTAAAAAGAAGCACCTTTGGTGGCTATCATAACATTTGTAATCTCTTTATCAGGTTTAAGATCAGAAGAAAACTTAAAGTCTTCATTCATTCTTTTTATACAAATCTCATAATCTCAAATAGTTCTGGGGTGAATACTAATCTGCAAGTAACAACCCACAAAGGCATTAAATCAAAACTGTGTATATTTATTGTAAGTATGTATGTAAACTCAAGTGATAAATTAGCATGAGGTTTTACGATAAGCAAGTTGGGAAAGGCTACACTGAGGATCACCAAAAAGTTATCGTGTACATGGCAGTACAGTAAAACTCAAATAACATTCGGGACCATAATATTTAATATGACATACGCAAAGTATGAATTGCAGGCAAATTTCCATAGGTCATATAAAATCTGATTCAATCAATAATCTACACTGTGCATGTATACTTCAATGCAGCTGCTAAATGCACATGCATCGATGGGTCAGAACTTAATTTCCCACAGTTCAATGCAGCTGGTAAGTGCAGTAGCGTTGTTATCAGTTAGGAAATTATTTGCTTTATAAAATGTGACTGATGCAAAGAAATCTTAAGCGTTTTTTGTTAGGAAACTGAATGCACGAACAACTTCGGGTGCATGTATGACTTAGGTGAATAGAAGATTTATAAGGATAAGACTACAAGTTTTACTGTGTAAAAAGTCTTATATTGATGCAAGACACGTTCATTGTATCTTTGGTAAAAATGTGAATGAAGATATTTAATAATAATCCTTGCATTGATATTATAGTGCCTTATCACATCATTGAGATATCTCAAAGCACTTCACAGGATATACTGTAAAGTAGTATAATAATGATCATGACCAAGCGTGTTTTGTGGGTGAACACTACAGCCAAATAGCACACAACAATGTCCTACAAACAGCCATAGAGTGAGTGACCAATTTTATTTGGGGGATTGTTGGTCAGGATACTAAGAGAAATTATTTTCTCTTTTCAAATAGTGCCTTGGGATCTTTAATGTCTGCCTGGATAGGCAGATGAGAGCTTGGTTTAACATCTCATCTGAAGGGTGGCACCTCCAGTATTGTATTGCAGTGTCAGCCTAGTCTATATGGGTTCTAATTTCTCATTTTTCTAAAGATAACACCTTTATCTTTTTCACACATATGAAAAAGTACGTATTTTCTTTAAGGAACTTTATTAGAACTTTCATTCTTAGAACTGGAAAATGAATATTTCATGAACTCTTTGTGTGCATTTTCAAGAAATAAAACACAGGATAACAGGAAGAGGTTATTCAGGCCATCAAGCCTGTTCCACTCATGCAGGGATCTGCAACCAGTTTAGCGTCAATCACAGTCGACTTCTTGGAGTGTCAAGACGTAGCCTGACAAACATCTACAGCAGATGTTCCAATAGCTACTGAGCTGCGATACCCATGGCACAGCCATAAATGAAGACAAATTCAATACCTGACCATTTCCCACTCAGCTGCCACACACATTTATAAGCAGTAGAGAATGCTGGAGATGAACTGGGAGCAGGAGCCCTGGGTAGTTCTTACCTTTAATCGTAAAAAAACAGGGTCAATTTAGGATTTGGACCCACAAACTCCTGGGAATGCAAGCTGTACCTCTAGCCACACCACCATTGGGGTGCCCTCTCTGCTGATTCTTAATTCTTCGTTCAGTGAATCAGCTAGTATTGCCACAACCCATTTTCCTTCTAAATATTATGGGTAAAGACTGCTACTGTGACCCTATAATTCCTTTGTAAAGTCCATTTTCAAGACATTAGTTAGCTACATGTGAATGTACAGGAATTTTTTTGTGGTCCATCTGCAAACAGTGCAGATATACCAGGGAATGATAGTCAAAATACATTACTTAAATGAGAACAAAAAAAAATCATGTATCGACTTCAAGAATTTATATTTCTCCCTGGGGTTATGAGTGCTGTAAACTGTGCAGTGAGCTGTTCATAATTACATTACCAGCCATTCATGCAATTCTGTGTGAACTATAGACACTATTAACTTGCAGAGAACATATTAGAAAAGGCTTTAGGTACTGTCCCTTTAGATGGTAGAGCTGAATGGAAATTAGAGTCTTAATGGTTCAGACTGCAGCTCAGATGAGCCAATGACTCCAGGTTAAGTAAACCCAAGGGCAGATAAAGTTGGTGGGGGGGTGTGCGGGGGAGAGAACAAGTTTCATGTTGTGGAGTTTTGCAACTTTTATGCTTTGAATTTTTGATTCAAGAAATCAAAGTTTCAGCTTTACAATTTCCTTTAAAATTCATCGTATGAAACTTTATTCAAGATCGTTTTGGAGGTAAATAGTGTGGTGCTTTATTGAGCTCTGGCATCAATTGTATTTGTGTTGGTATTTTGGTGCTTATCAACATGACTGTATCTGTATTGGGGAACAAACAATTGGCACCAAGTGTTAGCATCAATCATTGACCTCTATTTTTGCTAATTTTTCCACCACATTTTCTTCAATTCTCTCCCCCTTTCCCCTTGTGAATGGATCTTTGACACCTTTTGCTTCAAATTGGGGTATGTTATCACCGATGCAAATCTCCCTTGGTACCTCACTTGGTACCTCACCTACATTTGAGTTTTGAAGATAGGTCAGCTGAGCAGCATAACATGTACAATACTGTTATTTATGGTTATTTTTTAGCTTACAAAATATTCTCTCTTTGAATCTGTTTTAAATTTTTTCTAGGTTCATCTGATCAAGAACCAATCATATGCAAGGTAAACTAATTAATAGAAGTAGTTACGGTAGTGTCTGTTATAACTCCATGGTTGTGTGTGTGAGGAGGGAGGGTGGGGGTTGTCATAATATCTCAACCCCTTTTATAAAGGGGCTGTGATAACAGGTTTCATTGCACATGTGTTTAGCTAGCCCACATGCTTCCCGAGCCCCAGCCTAAATACTGGGTCATGAGGTTGCTCCTGGCGTCGTTTTCTGGGTGTTGTTCATCTCAAAATGCTTCACAGGATTTACTGTAGAGTGCAGTGGCTGTATATTTTGTAGGCAAAAGCAGCAACTAATTTGCGTACAGCAATGTTCCCACAATCAACCATGAAGCGAATGACCAATTTATCTGGAGGATTGATGGCCAAGACACCAGGAGAACTCCTTTCTCTTTTCGAATAGTGCCATGGAATACTTTAACATTCACCTGAACAGGAAGAAAGGGCTGCAATGTAACATCTTATCCAAAGTTTACAACGTCCAGCAATGCAGCACTCTCTCAGCTTTGTATTGGAGTGCCAGCCTTGACTATGGGTCTCATAAAGTCCTAACTTAAGACTTGAAACTACAACTTTCCAACTCAGAGGCACACATGCTGCCAATTGAGCCAGGCTGAGATGGGCCAGTTGAAATAGCAAACAGTGACACAATAATAATGGCCTCCTAGTCTGACATAGACTTCTATGGTTTTATTTCTCCAGGTCCAATGTAATGCCATTCTAGAGATTGGATCAGTTCATTTTGGTGCAACTTCACAATGTGGCCAGTGTTTTTGCCTTGACTGGATGCCCTCCAAAGAACATCTCCATGTGGCTGCAGGTTTTTATGATGGTATGTATTGTGTTCAAAGTAATCATATCCCCATTCTACTACCAGCCCTTACCAAAATTATAATAATAATAATCCTTGCACTTGATATAGCGCTTTTCACGTCTTCTAGATGTCTCAAAGCGCTTCACAGAATATGCTGTAAAGTGAATTGACCATATATTTATGGGCGAAACGCAGCAGCCAATTGCGCACAGCAGTGTCCCACAAACAGTCGTGGATTGAAAATGACCAACTTATTGTTTTTTGTTTTTGGACGGTTTATTATTAGGATGTGCGATCGAGTACGTGTTTCTATCTGTGTGCATATGTGTGTGTGCGTTTGTTTATGTGTCTTTGTGCGTGTGTCTATCAGGCAGTTTTGTACAATAAACAGGGAGAAGTTATTTCTCCTAGTCTGAGTTGTTAATTAGAAAAATGATCTTGAAGCCTTGGTTCTTGACAACCTGCGCCCAGTACTCTGCATTAGGTAAACGTTTCCAGGGAGAGAATGTATATTCCATTCCAAACACTGGAATTTCCATGTGTAGGTTGCAAGGTTTAAAAGATTGCTGGCAGAGGGGGCGCAGTGGGAAAGGAGGCTTTCGATTTCTGGAGCTTTCCATTTGCATATATCTTTAAAATGCGAGAATCTTGCGTTTTTTTTTAAATATTCTGCTGTGAGTGCTCTTATAAACTAGCATTTTCATATAATGGAACAGATCAGAGTCAAACACGCAGAGTAGAAATAATTTCCTCCAGTAGAATACCTCAGGGCTATGCTATGAATGCATCTTGGATTGAAGCTATCTTAAGAACATGACTGGAATTATACTTCCAGTGTACAATATAGTTGTCAAATAATTAGATGAGACTAGTGTTAAAAGTACTGAAATAAAGCTAGGATAATGGTAGCTGGCTGTACGTTTCAGGGGGGTTGGCTGAGCAGTTAGTTGCATCTCAAACCTCTCCTCAGAGCAGAGGAGGAAGCATTTCTTCACACCGACGATTGTGAAGATGTGGAATGCTTTACCCTAGAAAGCTGTAGAGGCGTAATCAACAGGAATGTTTAAATAAGAGAAAGATAGATCCTGGATAGTCGTGATATTAAGGGGTACGATGAAAGGGCAGAGCAATGGAATTAAAAATCTGCCAAAATCTAGTAAAGGTGGACCAGGCTAGATGGGCTGAATATCCTCCACCTGTTCCCATTTTCTTTTTTTTTAAAAAGCAAAGTTTAAGCACACAATAAATGTCAATAGAATTATGACTTCCCTTGTCATGTCTTAAATTCACTCAGTCAGCGCCTGAAATATTACAGCAGCTAATGTTTGAATTTCAAATATATTCCTTCCCGTTGCCTGGTGGATGATGTCACATGGCATGATCTAGATAAAAGAGTAATGGCAATCAAAGTGCTGTGGGATTTGAGGCTGTACGGAGTTGGATAATTGATACTGGAACAATAACATTAAAACATTAGAAAATATTGCTTACAAATTAAATACAATTTTGATTACACAGTTACTTTATTGTCCAATTCCCACTATGAATTTGAAAGCAAAAATTAACACCCAAAAGCATTTCTAACTTAATTTTAGTGGGGCTACAAAACTAACCTCGTCTTAAATTTATCATCGAGCTAAACTTTTTTTTTGCTTTGTTGCTTCGAGACACTACCCCGCATGAAGGGTGCTGTATAAATCCAAGATGATGTTGTTACTTTGTTTAAAAGAAATATACATCTCTGTAAGTCTATTCTCGTAATGTAGATCTCCAAAGTTGGGGAATCATCCTTGTTGCTGTTTCCCTCTATTCTTTATAATGTATTAATGTCCTTTTTCAAGGTACACTCTTGAGAATTACACAACCACTAACAAGCATAATTCGAATACTTCTCCTATTCTAAAGGAGCATCAGCCTGATCCTGAACAGAGGGATTGTTTGATGATGCCTGTATAAATCAAATCCTATTATTATGACGTTTTACTATTTTTGAGATTGCAATCTATAAGCAAGTTAGATCTTCCAAATCGCTTCATTTTCTGAACACTTTTTTTTAGTATTGTATCAATCCTGAAGCACTGTGAGAATTAAATTCAACAGAAATAAGTAAAATATTTATTTAAAAAACTGTAAAGTATATTTTAGCTAAACAGTAGGTAACAATCTTTCGATTTGAGAAAACATCTATAACGTAAAAATGTCTTGGAAGTGTTTACAGCAGTTACTGTTAATTGTAGTGACTGTGCATTTTATAGGCAAACACCATTGTGTCCCAACAATTTCCCACAAAGCAATGAAGTGAATAACCTAGTTATCTGGAGGAATGTTGGCCAGGAGACAGAGAAACTCCTTCTCTTTAGTGTCCACTCAAGCAGGCAGATGGGACTTGGTTTAACCTCTCATACAAAGGACGGGACCTGACTATGACCTGACTCTGACTATGCAGGGTTCTCCTGAACTGTGAGCTCAAAGTTCCCTATATGGGGCTTGAACCCTCAACCTCTGGCCCAAACTTTAAAACGAACAGCCATCAGAAGAAAATAAAGTAGCAGCAGAGTGGTTCTGAGAGAAGAGGGGTACAGCAGCCCTAAGGAAAGATTAGGAAAGAGAAGAGCAAAGTGGAGAGCATAGAAAGGAGTAAGACGAGAGGCTGAAAGGGGTGAGAGAGACTTCTGGGATTGATGACAGCAAGTATAAATTCTGGATGACCAATCACACCTCAGAATTCTATCTTTTTTTCCTGCAATCCTAGAAACACATTAACTAATTATTATGAATTATTTGGATGATAGGATACCATAAAATGCAGCACAAAAAGCACATATGTGGCTAATTGTTTACTCTATTTACTCCATTTTAAATGTGTTTCCTTGTTCACTTCACCCTATCAATAATCACCCTTTCCGGCCATGTGGGAACGCAGACATCCTACTTGTAGGGCTCTGTGTCAACAGAAAGTGTGTGATACAATTTCATTCCCAGATTGACTCCAAAAAAAATGGTCACTCAATTCCCGACTGTTTGTGGGACATTGCGGTGTGCAATTGGCTGCTGTGTTTCTCCCACAAAATACAGTCAATCCACTTTACAATATATTCTGTGCAGCGCTTGGCGACGCCTCAACTCAAGGATTATTATTATTGTGTACTTTCCCTCCCTTAATTTGGTTAAAATGCTGCCCTCTCTTTCCAACATGACAGAATGGGAAGTTTATTTTGTGAGATATTAGAATTGGCAAGCCAGACTAACGGAATTCATGATTGCCACCGTGAAGTGCCACCTGTACCATGCATTGTTTATAATGTAAAAATCTAAATGTGAAAAACAATTGAAGGAATTTTTTTTTATTTAAATCAGGTACGGTTGGACTCTGGAATCTGACTACAAAGTCGTTACTATTACGAGTTCGCCAAGCAGACAGAACTTTGAAGATTTACCCTTTCCACTCCTTTGTTGCACATGACCATGCTGTTAAAGCCATTGCCTGGAGCAAATGCCACAGGTAGAGTAGAATATACTATATATAAACCTGTGAAATGCCAATTTGAATAGCATTTGAAATATTAGAAAGTACAGAGAACAATTTTCATTGTACCAATTCCCTCCATTTAACCTTCATCTCCCCAGGTCGCAGATATAGGCTACAGCAGCAGAGCAGGTCATTCTTGGTCATTGGAACTTGGTTATTGGCTAATTCTATTCTGAGTAAAAATTGCAAGGAGGTGTATGGCTTTGCACTTTCTCCTCCACAGTGCTATTTTATCAAAGACATACAGAAACTTCATACAATTTTATCGCCCAACAAATTTTGTATAGGCCCACATAGAACAAGGTTTCTTACAACCTTTCTTTCTTTCTCCTGCAGACCATGTACAATTTATCCTGCCGTGACTGCCAGTATGCCAGTATGAGCAGCTGAGGATATGTTGTAGAGGTGGTGATAGATATAGACTGAAATAAGAACATGAGAAAGCAAATTCAAGATAATGACATTGGTCAATCTTCCTAACCTAGCTGGTGCACAGACAACCTACTTCTAGGATTTTGCCAATCACTCTTATATAGGAATATAGAAGAACAGGAGGAGGTCGTTCAGCCCATTAACCCGTTCCAACACTTGGCAGATCTTTTAAAGTTATGTCATCCAGTTGTATGTTTACAGTCTCTTTAAGCCAAAAAACAAATTATTGCTACATTATCTATGCTACTGAACATTTCAAAGTCTTGAATCATGTTCTCTTTAGTCTTTTTCAACTAACCTAATGTAAGTTCACCTCTGTGAGCTTTTTCTCCTAGTCTAGAGCCTAGTCTTCTGACTCTTCTCTGAATCCTGCAACCTGGGATTTAATAGCTTTGTTAAAATTTCCTTCACATTGGCATCTAATGTTTTAATCTTATGTTTCCATCAGTATTGTGGTTACATCCTGGATTAGGTTTCCTTAAAGTTTGCATACCTCTGTAGTGCCATCCATTTAAGTCTGCCTGAAAATCTCTCTTTAGTAGTGCCTTGTAATAGACTTCAGTTATGAGGGTGTACTCTAGTGTGTTTTTAAATATAGTTTCTCCAAATGGACCCAACTAAAAGTGAGGAAAAGAGATAGTTGCAGATTGTTTGACAATATTTATAGAACAACCAGCAGGTGGCCTGCAGGAGAGGTATTTAGAGTGAACCCATTTGATCACATTTAGTCTCCATATGTTGTGTCACATGTATAAACAGCTTTAAGTAGAATCAACACACACTGAACTAAATACAGCAACATCTGCAAGAAACAATAATAACACTTTTTTTTTTTACCCCCTATTAGCACTTAGCACTGCTGACGTGTGTGTTCTCACTAACACGGCTGCAGTTTAGAGTGTCTTACTTCTACAAATGGAAAACTGATTTTGGGTTTCTGCTTCTCATTTCTAAACTCGATATTAACAATGTAGGTGGAGGAGGAAACTCTTTTCAGGCAGCCCTCGTCTACTTGGTGTTACATCAGCATCTTGGGACATCTTCCTAACATGAAAGATGCTCTATAAATGCAGTTTATTGTTGTACGTCACAGTATTCCATCTTTGCTGCTGATGCCTGCGAATGAATTGTATAAATGTTCCAAAAGCTGCTTTCGATAGGAGTTTAAAAGCATCAGCTTTGCAGTCTGTTAAATACAAGTATTTTTTTCTAGTTTTCTTCCATTTTGCTGTCCTTTCCTTAACTGTAGCTTCACAGCCTCCAACCACCCTGTACCTCCCTTAAGAGGGAGGCAATTCTGCATGTGTGAGTGTGGGTATCCAGTGTCAACAGCTTTGTTGACAATGGAGAGTGTCAGCAGCTTCATCAGATATGCACATTCTACAAGCATAACAATTAGAATAATGTCTCTCCCCCACCCCCCTACCCGTCTTTGTAATGTGACACAGCCAGCCTCGCTAAAATCAGGTAAACTGAGCACAGCCTTACTCAGAACACACCAAGCGGTTCATTTACCCACTGAGCTATGAGGAACAAATCAATTAGTTTGTACATTTCTATAGATTCTATATCTTGATATACAGTGTTAACAAATAAGCAAACACTTCACATCTAGTGCTCAATCCCAGTGTTCCACTTTAAATGTTGTAGAATGACATCCGGGTCTGTTAAACTGTTTAAGAGAAGATTTTGTTCACTGAAGAATTGAATCTTGTACATCTACATTTTATTCAAATTTAACTGAACCATAACTTCACTATGACACATTAAAAAGGAGAAACACTGCAAATGAAGTGAAAAGTACATCCGGACAACTGAAGCTCAAACCTTCGTTAATAGGCTACTTTTGTAGTATGCCTGTTGAATTATAGGAAGTAGGAATTTTTTGCAGTGCAATACCAAATTAGTTCCAATGAACGAACACCTAAAAGAAAAAAGTTGCATTCTATTGTATATGGGAGGCATTTAAACCGTGGCCACATCATCAACAAGAGCAAAAACTTTTTCAACATGGCATTGTGCAATTGACATAATGTAGATTTTGAAGACCTTTGGCATGTACCTTAAAAGGTTAAAATCTCAACCACTTTTTATTTTAATGTGTTACTCGTAATTATCATTGAGTGTTGTAGAGTAGTATAATATTGAATTTAGTTGAAATGTTGTATACTATATAATCCTGTGGAAGTATTGATAAATGTCCAGCCATAAGTGTTATAGCTTTGTTCTAAAGTTCATAAATTTCCTTTGTGAGTCATTTTACTTGATGTGATTTTCTTTTATTATTAAATTAATTTTAATTTCCCCTTCTCTCAAAACATCTCTTGGTAGTGATTTTTTAGTGACAGCCAGTCCTGACAGGAAGATCAAGTTCTGGGACCTCAAGAGAACATACCATCCACTCAATGTTCTCAAGCGACACCTGAACACTGAAGTTTCCTGGTTGGTGCCCTGGTGTGGAGTTATGGTAGCCCAGGAAAATTGCTATTCTGCGTAAGTTTTAAGTACCTTTTTGACCACTGGCACAGACATGGTGCATTCGAGTGCTCCTTTTCTGTGCATAGCATTTTTGTGTTTGTTTCTGTTCACATTTCTAAATGATTGTTATTTGAGATGCTTAAGTGATTCCATCAGAAATTGTAATTTTTTTTGTTGCTCTTTTACTCTTTAATTTTATTTCACAATCCATTTAAGAACAAAAGATATGAAAATGTGTAGCGTTTAAGTGCATTGTTGAATTTAGGGAGGTGGAAATGGTGCTTTATATATTAATTTTGTTGTTTAGATGAATAAACTACTCTGGTTGGCTGTACTTCAGTTATTAACCTGCTGAGGACCATGGGGAGATTTGTTCTGACCACCTGACAAAAAGGTCTCCTGTATATACTTCAGTGTCCTCAGCAATGTTTCTTTTCCAGGTTTGGGCTCAGTGGGATTCACTTTGTGGATGCTGGCTACCTTGGGTACAAGCCATATTTTGCTGCTCCGAGAACAGGAAGTGTCTGGGTAAGTTTTCCTAAATTGTTATGATAAATAAGTTGTAACTAAACTAGCAATAATACCCTTTCCGGCATGAAGTGCGCCTATACAACTGCTAGATGTTGTTGTTTTGGTGCAGCTGTAGGGTATTTTTTTCTACATAGCAATATGTTTTTTAGATGGCTTGCTCGAGTGAGATTAACAACAACAAATTACACTTGCATAGCACCTTTCACATTCAGGAGGACATCCCAAGGCACTGGACTGTCATGGATTTAGACCCAGTAAGGGGTTGAGATCAGGAGGAGTGGAGGGCAGGGATAGTAGGTGTAAGAGGGTGACCGACTGCGCGGTTGAAGAGGAGGGTCTTAAGATGTTATGTGGACAGATGTTGTGTGGGCCCCTTACACTTATGTCTTCCAGCACAGACTGGACAGCCTCCCACACTAAAAAATGGACAACTTCCAGGTTGTCAAGTTGCAACCAACCATCACTTCCTACATATGCACGCTATGTGAATGAAGTATTGATATCACTTCGCAACGGAAATGACGTCAGCGGCACTGCAGGAACACAACATGCAGAAAATCACATTAGCTGTCACCTGGCAACCCAGAATGTAGCCTTTCTTAATGCTTCGATTTAACGTGAGGGACTGATCTATTGTCCCAGACTGCAGTGCTATAACAGGGTTGTCCTGCATTACGATTTGGTCATTAAGATGTGCATTTTTTTCAAAGCTCTAAAATAATTATATAGTGGGGACATTCTCCAGTTATTGTTGTGTTTGAGGTTTGGGAAGTTACCATGTTTCCCTACTTTAATCACATGTACATACAATACGGTGTGAGTGGCATTAGTTTGATAAAACAATATTGCAACAGCTTTTTCTGGCACAAATCACTTTATCAAGAGAATGGGGTTGACTTTGCATTAAGTCTTCCAACAGTTCAAAGCAAAATTACAAACAAAACAGTGGCAGACTGTGTTTTGCTACTTTTGGGCATTGCTATTCTATTTTTATCCTGCTCTGGTTGATTTGCTTGAAAGTTAGAATGTGTAATGGGCATCTATCAACCTATTGGGTTGAGTTCATGGACTAAATCTGAATGCTTAAACTCGAACCAGGGATTTATGATGCGCAATAACGGCACTTCATTTTTACAGAGGGGGTTTCCCATTCCTTCGTGCAGCAATTTCTAAATTTGGAAGTTGGTTGTCTTCCAATCTAAAGATATTTTGCTTTGAACATTATTGTCTCCATTATTCAACAAAATGGAGCTCACTCCCTTTCCAGTGGTTACTCCCAAATTAATTGGCTAAATTAAAAGACATGCCTCAGATTCGTTTTTTTATTGTGAGTTTTGGTAGGCCTTTTAGTGCAGCTATGTATAAATCATAACACTATAGAAATCTTGTTTAAACCCAAGAAAAGTTTTATTTAACAGGAAAAAGGAGGGATCATTTTTTTCCTTATTATAATACAACAACTTTATTTTTGAAAGTTTATTCTATTCCTCAAGAAATGTTATAACTTCATATGCATTTGTATAATTATATTAATACAGTATAAATGATTTGTTAAATTCCTTATATATAATAATGAAATAAGACTCTTCAAGCCGCTCATCTCTTATGTGCTCCAAGTCCCTTGACTATTAAAAAGCAACAGGAATCATGTATAGAGGGCACCCAAAATACAATTAGGTCTTGCTCATGGCCTGTCTCCATGCATATTTCACTATCCATGCCTTTGAATCCTTCTCGACTCCCTTTTCCCACCTCGGAGCTGGAATCTCTTATTTGCTCCTGGCATCTAAATTCTGGAGCCAGAATCATTATAGCACGCATTGCTATAGATAGAATCCTCAGTTACCCAGCTATCCCATTCCAAACCACAATTTTATGGGCCCGCAACCTTTATCGTGGGTGCCCTCTACACATTGGTGACTGTTAATTGGCTGCAATTTTTAATTTATTAAAAAAAATTAGTCACTTTAATCCACGACTGTTGGTGCGACACTGCTGTGCGCAATTGGCTGCCGCATTTTGCCCACAAATATAGTCAATTCACTTTCCAGTATATTCCGTGAAGCACTTTGAGACGTCTAGAAGATGTGAAAAGCGCTATATCAAATGCAAGGATTATTATTATTAATATAATTATGTGAGTTGGACCACACAGTAAGGATAGGTGGCCTCGGGTCTTTTATTTCATTATTTACTTGACAGCTTGGCTCAGTTAGTAGGACTCTCATCTCTGAGTCAAAGGGTTGTGGATTCAAGTCTCACTCCGGAAAAAAAGCCATCACCTGCAGAAAATCCCACAAAAGTCACCAAAATTAGCTCTGTAAGGTCTAATGTAGTTATTTTATATTGTTGTTTTCTAAAGTTAAGTTAAATCATTTCTGTAACTATTTTCTTCTTTCTCCTGCCTCCTAGCCACTACCCATTTTGGAAATGGCAGCAAGGTTAAAAGAATTGGGTTCCGTTGACTGAAAACTACCTTACATAAAATTGTTACCTTTTAAACTACCTTTCCTGCTATTTATGTTTCAGTATTTGAAAACACCTCTTTAATTTGTTTTTACACATTGAAATAGAACAGAACTGCTGAATGAGTTGTTGCTACAACACATCGCCTGTCAGCTTTTATTTGGCACTCTGAGTATCACCTCAGTCCTTGTCAGACTCCACTAACTCCCTGCCCCCCAACAGATTGATTTCATAGGCCTCACCTATAAATCCCTTCATGCCCTAGCACCTCCCTATCTCTGTGATCCTCTCAAACCCCACTTTTTTTCACGTCCTCCTGACGTGAAAGGTGCTATACAAATGTAATCTTGTTGTTGTTTTCCCTCCACTTGGCAAACTCAGGCCTATTTTGCATTCTCCTTCCCATCAGTTGCTGAGCCTTCAGTAAATATGGCCCAACCCTTTGGAACTCCTCTCCACTAGGAGCTCCTCTCGCCCCCTGTCTATCCATCTTTATATCCTGCCAGAAATCCATCTCTTCAACTGCACCTATGGTCACCACTCAATCTCTTCCTCCCCACCTTGCTCAGTGGCTAACACCATCCAACTGAAGGACTCCCAAGATGTTATCTTATGTGAAGAGCATGTGAAGAGCATGATAAAATATAAGTTAATGCTGTTATTGAGCGTTCTTGAATGGAGTGCTCATTTCAAAAAGTTATTTCCAATTCAGAGCTACATTGCTTCCCTTCTTTTCAGGTATTAATTTTGTGCTTTGGTTTTCTGCTTGTAGAGTGTTTCTGGCTCTGACTGGTTGAATACCTGTGCCTCAGGAGACAATAGTGGTGAAGTAATAGGGGTGATTCTTCCTGATTGCAAGAACACCACCATGAACGTCAAGCGGCCTAATGAGCGGCGTTTTGTGAGTACACATTAATCACTGTCTTTTAGCTTAAGTATACATGACCTTCAAGACTATTGTAGATTTGAAAACAGCACAACATTTGATTCCCCATGATCAATTTTACATTAAGATAGTATAAAATGCATCAGTGCACAAGAAAGTATGAAATGAGAAAAGGCTATTCTGCCCATTGAGCCTGCTTTTTCCACACCTCTGTAAATTGTACCCTATCATAGACTTCACTAAATCTACTCATCTTCTGGGGAAATATTTTATTTGACAACTCCCTGGAACATAAGAAAATTGAGGAGAAAATGCATCCATCTTCATTGCTGAAATCTGGCTCCTTCCCTCCTTCAGTGATTTTTTATAAGGTAAGGTAGTCAAAGCTGCACTCCATCATAGAACTCCACAGTTTAGAATAACAATAAAATATAAAATTACATTTGTGAAGCATCTTTCACATCGGGAGGACGTCCCAAGGCGCTGAACAGTAAGGGATTAGGACCCGAGCGGGGGTGGGTAGGGTTTGAGATCAGGGAGGATGGAGGGCAAAGTGGGTGGTCGAAGAAGAGTCTTTTGAGGCATCATTGAAGGAGGCAAGGGAGGAATCAAGGCGAAGGGAATGTGGGATGGAGTTCCAGAGGGTGGGGGAAGAGAGGCTGAAGGCCTGACCGCCAATGGTGCAATGGGCCGGGTGGGGGACATGGAGCAGGCCAGAGCCTGCTGAGCGGAGGGAGCGGACAGGTTGATAAGGAGTTAGCAGTTAGGAGCAGGCAAGGCAATAGAGGGCCTTGAAGGTGAGGACAAGGATTTTGAATTCTATCCTGTGAGGGATGGGGAGAGCCAGTGGAGCCGGGCGAGGGTGGGGGTAACGGGGTCACAGAACCTGGTGCAGGAGAGGACATGACCTGCAGAGTTCCGAATGATCTGTAGCTTGTGGAGGGAAGAGTTGGGAAGGCCAACAAGCAGAGCATTGGCATAGTTGAGCCATTCATTTATAAAAAAATTTTAAAAAATTGAGTTACCAAATTTTCTCAGGATCCAACTTAGTATTTCATCAGTTTTCTGATTGGCAGTTTCACATTGTCTGGAAGCTTCACTTGAGTGATTGATAATCGCACCAAATTTGTTTCCTTCTCCATCTCTGCTGATGCATTTCGCTTCATTGCATACCCAAGTTCCTGTTTTTATTCTAGATTTATCGTTGTTATAATCCTTTCTTGCTCCTTGTCCAGATCATGCTGAATGCTATTCATCTTTAATAGCAATACGGTTTTGCTGAAGGCTTACACAAATTTATTTAAGAAAATGTATATACTCAAATCTCGTGTTTTAACAAGGTAGTAATCAAAGGTTGAGTTGATTTCAGCATTTCTCTTGGCACAATATAGTCACTATGGCAACCTTGAAAGCTTCATTAGTATTTTTTGTGTTTAGTGGTTCTGGACTAGTGACCAAGAAAATAATTTATTGACTTGAGCACTGAGTACTTGGCTGATTGAAGGTATATTTACCTCAAGGGGAAACTGCTGTTGTGTACTCCTGGAACTATAACTTAGTTGATTTAAATATTATGTAGTTCTTGGACTCAATATCACTGAATTCATAATTGCAATATGAGCATCATAACTGCATTATTACGGGGCCATGCTAATTGTGCATTATTTCAAATACCATATCACCAAACATTCGAGGACTGGCTCAGTAATTCTGTCTCTGTTTTATATGGATTGGTATGAACGTTTTATTAGCTGTACCAATATGTACGTACGTGTGTTTTAATAATGGGCAATATATATTTTGAAAGTAATATACATGTTGGTAAGATAGCCACTGTTAAGGTTGGTGCTTTTTTAATTTAAAAGCTGAATACTACTGGCACATGGACGGTAATATGTAGTTATAACACATCCCAGGCAGCACAGTTGGTTGGACACATGCTGATAAGAAGATTCTGGGTTTGAAGCTCCTTTACCCTTTTGCTTGATGAAATAAGCACCATATGGAAATAATAATCCCTCTGGGGAAAGGCAAGAGAGGTCTTCCTGGGGCTGAGTAGTCTACAGGAATTACACTCGTCAGTACAGGCATGTTTTCAAAGAGTGCAAAAGGTATGCAGGGCAATCTATCTCGCACTTCTACTGATCAATACTTTATGTTATTCAAACTAGTTTGATCAATAATAACATAAGTCAGTATTAAATTACATTTAATATCAGCCGAACAGGGATTTTGAAGCAGTCAACATCACCAGCCAAATTTGGTGAACAAACCAAACTCCTGGTTCCCTTCTGCAAGGGAGCATGGATTATCTCATTGGAAGTATATATTGCTCCAGCCTTTGGAGGACATTGTGCTGGGGTCTGATCGACCTGCATTTCCATCATCCTCTTGGGGGTGTGGCAGCCTTGTGCTGCTGGAAAAATAATCTCCCCCTTCTGCTGCCTTGGAGTCATCTGAACTCCTCTCCCTCTGGGCTTTCCTCCAGCAATGACCCATCTTCCTCGGTCACTCTCCTCTACAACTCCCTCTCTTCCACTCTCAGTGCCCTTGCCCCCCTCACTTCCCGAACCATCTCCTACTCATGGAAATCACACTGGTACACCAGCCACCTGCGCTCCCTTAAGGCTCAGGTGCGTGCCGCTGAACGCACCTGGCTCAAATCCAACTTAACAGTTCCATCAGCAGATCTGGCTGGACCTTATCAAATCGTTCCGCTCCGCCCTCGCCTCTGCTAATTCATTCTTCTACTCCAAGACAATCTTAGAGGCCAAGGACAGCCCCAGGTTCCTCTTCTCCATCACCAACCTGCTCCTCCGTCCACCTTCTCATGCCCCACCCATCCTCTCCTCCAATGCCACCTGTGAGGAGATGTCGGACTTCATCGAAACCAAAGTCAAGGGGATCCGCTCAGCTGCCTCTGCCCTTCCGACCACTACCCCCTCCCCATAGGCCCCTCACAACCCAGCTCCCACCCATCCCTCCTTCCACACCTTTGAACCTGTCTTCCCAATCCTCTCACCACCATAACACACATGAAACAGACCACCTGCTCCCTTGACCCCATCCCTATACCTCTCCTTACCTCCCAGCTCCACCTCCTTGCTCCCTATTCACAGACACCATAAACCGGTCCACTGGCACCGTTCCCACCCCTCTAAAAATGGCCGTCATCACTTATTCTTAAATCATGTCCCATTCTGCCTTCGCCTACCTCCACAACATCGCCTGGCTCATCCACTGTCTCACACCACAAATCACCAAGGCCCTCATATACGCATTCATAACATCCAGGCTCGACTGCACAAAATCCCTGCTTGTCGGCCTCCCCAACTCCTCCATCCATAGACTGTAGATCATTCAGAACTCTGCAGCCTGTGTCCTCTCCCACACCAGGCTCCCCGACCCTATCATCCCATCTTCGCCCGACTCCACTGATTTCCCATCACACAGAGGATACAGTTCAAGATCCTAGACCTCACCTTCAAAGCCCTGAATGGTTTTGCTCCCCTCTACTTCTGCAACCTTCTATCTCCCTACCAACCTGCCCGCTCCCTCCGCTCACTAGGCTCCAGTCTGCTTCATGTCCTTCGCCTCACCCGCCCTACCATTGGTGTGCGGGCCTTCTGCCACTCTGCCTCCACCCTCTGGAACTCCATCCCACAGTCACTCTGCCTCGCTCCTTCCCTTGCCTCCTTCAGGACCTTTCTCAAGATCCTCCTCGATCGCCCTCCTTCCGCCCCCTGCCCTCCACCCTCCCTGATCCCGACTCCCAGCTCGGGTCCAAAACACTGATTGTCCAGCGCCTTGGGACGTCCTCCCGACATGAAAAGCGCGATACAAATGTAATTTTTTTGTTTTTGTTGCTGCTCCTTGGCCTGGGTCCATCTCCTGTATGGTGAGAGTATGACCCCTCAGCTACAACTTGCAGTTATGTAGTGCCCTTGACACGGGGTAGCGTCCTGCAGCTTTTCACAGTGGTGGAGTCTGACAGCAAGCCAGAGGGAGGGGGGAGGTGACCGTAAGCACGATCAAAAAGGAAGGTCTTGAGCCAGGATTTGAAGGTGGGGAGTGAGGGGACAAGGCAGAGAGAATCACCCAGATTGGCTCCAACATCCTGGGCTGGGAATTGAGCATCAGGAGCGTGACACAGATAGCCCCCTCTCGTGATCGCACAGTCTGAGCACATTACAATATTGTTCAGAGAGATACTCAATTTGATTTGAAGCTGTGATTTCCCACAGTTTTCAATATTGTATTGTGACTGCAAGACAGAAGAGGGTGTCGAGTGAAGATTCACCAGATTCCGATAGGAATATTCCCACTGGTAATAATGAATAACAATCCTGGTATTGGATATCGCGCCCTATTTCTTCGAGACATCTAAAAGCATTTCACAAGATTTCACTTGAAGTGTAGTGACAATGTACTTTGGAGTACATGCCACAGCCAATTTGCACTGCAGTGGACCATAACAGCCATAAAGTGAGTAACCTTTTTTTAATCTGGAGATTGTTGGCCAGTTTTTTACTTGGGGGATTGGTACATGTAAGATAAAAGTTTGAAAGGATGGTGGATAGGGTGGGACTGTGGGATTGAATGGATAGGTTGCTTTGAGAGCTAGTGTAGACTTGATGGGCCAAGTGGCCTCCTTCTATGCTGTAAATTTCTATGATTCTTGGAAATAAAATTCAAAAGCCAAGTTCGCTAAATAATACTAGATATTATGCCCTTAGTACAGTACTTTCATTCATTTGTGTGTTCACTTCGTAGGGGAACAGGGCAGATGAATTCTGGAATAGAACTACATGAATTTGATTTTAAAATCTATTGTTCATCTCCTGCTCTGTTCCACTTTTGATCACTTGCTGTTGTGTTTGATTTTACAGCCTGTTTATAAAGCTGACATGGTTGAACACAACTCCTGTGGTCGCACTTCAACAAGAAGGTTAGTCCAAGGAAAAGAGACACTCGACTCTTCTGAAATAGAGAAAGACAATGTGAACACCAGGACTGGACCGAAGACCTATAGTGAGGCAGTGAAGCAATACTATCTGCAGTTTGATGATACAGACCTGGTAAGCAGATACATGTGTATATCTTATTCCTCTTGGTCCTCTTGGTGTTATGGGTTATTCACAGTTATTCATGCCTTGCTTTTATATGTAACATTGTCTACAATTAGGTTATGAATGGACTACAGATGCATAATTTGAGGTACATTTGTCAGTGGAAAAGGCAGAAATCTGAAAAGTAGGTGTGGCCTCTACTAAAATTATATATAGAGTTATCACCAAGTTAATATTAGCTATGGGTTATTTGTTCAGCTACATTCAGAAACTTACATTTTTTTTAAAAAAATCAATCATTTACTTCAATGGCTGTTGTTTGGGGTTTGCTGTGTGTGAACTGGCTGCCATAATTTTCCTACAAAATACAGTCACTATACTTTACAGTAACTTTGTGAAGTATTTGAGATGTTGTGGACATTATAGGCATGATATCAAATGCAAGGATTATTATTATACCATAGCCACTGCTGACTGGTACAGCTGGAGGCTAAAAGTAATGATGTGCTTTATGGACTGCCAAGTTCTATAAAAGAGACCAATTCTGCTGTTCTCTGAGTTGTTGCAGTCAACAGGAAACTGGTGAAGTGGAATAGAACAGAACAGATGGCATACCCTCGGCAGAGAGAGATTAATTTTTAAATTAATGAAGGATGAGCTACTTAATCAACAGAGTAGCTGTCAGGAGATCAACCATTAAGGCCATTGCTAGTGCCTTGTTGAAATCATTGACTTTTCAATAGCACTATTTTTTCCCAGAAACATCAAAGCCGCTCACTCAGGTGTATCACAAAGATAACCAAGACAATAAATTTTGTGGCTTTTCTTCACTCCAAAGATGTCTAATTACAACAGTAAAACCAAGGGCAATTTCAAGGGCTACATAATTCAGAAACAAATTTCAGCACACAGTGACTTTTCAATGTGCTGAATTTTGTCAAGACACTTCAAGGCTAATAATCAGCAGAATAGGATTTCAGCAAATGTCTCCCACACAGATACACTTGGCTACCTTGTGGCTGATTATTTTTTGGAGGAAAAACCTACATCTGAATTTGTAACATTTGTTCTATCATTTCAATATGAAATTTTTCATTATTTTACTCCTCTTTGCTGGCTTGCTGCATCACCAAAGATAGTGAATATTTTTGAAAACTACAGGGTGTTTTGCATCATTAGCTTAGCAGCTGTCGAACAGAAGTGCAAGGCAAATATGTCTATAGCCCAGACGTTAGGAGTATGGACATTCAGTAGTTGTGAGCAAAACTGATTTTAATTTATTTCAATGTTTGAGTTTCCTTGAATAAAAAAAACACAAAATCTTGTTAAATGCGGTCTGTTTTGTCATGAAAAGTTAATTCACTATATTTTTCACAGTACGTTTAGTAGATCATTTGTTTAATTTACTGTAAGTTAATGTTATTTGTACAATTCCATTTGCCATTTTTTCAGTGACAAATTGAATAGTAATTGCACCTTGAAATTAAGAACTGTGGCGGCCATTAATCAGCATGGTGACTGTATTTTTAGACTTCCTCTTGCCTTAATCCCTTCCACCTAATCTACAAAGTAATTGTTTTGCTGTCTCTTGTGAATGCATTTAGAACCTCAGAGGTGGTTGCTGCTATATTTTATATGTTCACAAAAGCGTGTACAGTTTCAACATTTCTACCAGAATTTCCACACAGCAATATCCCACAAACAGTCACAAAATAAATGACCAATTGTATCTGAGGGATTGTTTGCAATGATACTGGGAGAAACTCTTCTCACCGAATAGTGCCATGGGATTTCTAACATCCACCTGAGCAGGCAGATGGGACCTTAACATCCTCCCACTATTTAACAATGCAGCACATCCCCAACACTGTATTGAAATTTCAGCTGACTGCAATAATGCACCGTTCTTACAACAAGTTTCTTTTAATAGAAGTTTATCTTAACTCTGTAATAAGACTTGCTGGCAAGCCGCTTTAGAATCCTGGAATTCTGTCTTTCCATCCCCCTCCCCACCCGCCATTCCCAGCTTCAACTGCTAGTTAATGAGATTTTTTTGCTTACCATAATGCTTGTATCCTGCTACAACCAGTTCACATGCTGAAAGTCCAACGTTGTAGATCCAAATTCACATTTGAGATGTGGGGAGGACTGCCTCCAGCCCATTTAGTATACTAACAGTCATATGCACGGCAAAGTTACTGTGGTATGCATTATTGTGCACCTACTGACTACAGGCTTAGTTAACATTCAAGGAGTGCTATCTTTTGATACCATATTTTGTATTAATCACCTGGTAAATAGTTCTCTTCCAGTTCCTAAGTATGTGATATATGTTTGCTATTTTATAGAGAAGCTTCAAGGACTGGTTTTGCAGAGCACCTTTTCTAAGAATGCAGGCAGTGGACAAAAACACAGAGACCTATCTTGGCCGAATGCCACTAGAGTCTGTTCATAAGGTAGTGTAAGTTTTCTTCTTTAAGTTCCAGCGACTTTGGACGTCCTCCCAACGTGAAGGCACTATATAAATCCAATTTGTTGTTGTTATATCATTGCTGTTATTTCGCACATCAAAGTTATTTATTCCTTGCATTTGATATGAAGCCTTATCATGCTTTACAGAATATACTGCAAAGTAATTGACTGTATATTTTGTGGGCAAAATTGCCTAGCATGTATATTAAATACAAGGAAATATTTTTATTATTTCTCTTTAAATATCTTGCTTGTAACATTGGTTTCACAGAGGTATAAATGTTTTTCAGCCTGTTTCTTGCAAAATTATAATAATTTTGTTCATATAATAATATATTAATCAAACCAAACCATGAAAAACAGAATGAGACGTTGTATTGTCGACACAGATTACTGAATGACAATATGCTTTTAGTGCTTTCATTTAGCATTTTGGAAGAATAATACATAAGCACTGTTTTGATGATGGCTGGCATATAAAATGTAGATAGATAAGAGTAAATGAGGTGTAAAATGAAGAAAATTTAATTTCAGATTCTAGTATGTGAAACCATAATACTGCTGTTGATGGGATATAATACTCCAGGGTCCCACTGAGCACGTTGAATGTTGTGCAAGCATATACATTTCTAGTAGCAAGTGAGGACGCCTGTTTGCTTGATTTGTAGCCCTATGTAAAGAAAAAAATGCAAGTTGTTAGTAAAGGCTGATCCTTTTAAAATAAAATGAGTATTGATTAAAGTGGTTTTGGCCATAGTTGACTGCTCCATTCTATATAAGGATGCTTTGGCTTCTAAATAATTGCAGTCTTTTGTTCCTTACCACGCTGATGTTTATCTGTAGGGCGCAGCTTAATGATCTATCAATAATGATGGAAGAGTATAGACTGTTATATTAAAGTATACCACTGATAGTTTCACAAGATCAATTTTTGCATACTTTTTAACATTTATTTGGCCTTCCTTTCTCACTATCCTTTTTGTTTTTATGATTTCCGAACAAGCAATATTTTATTTATCCTGCATTTTGTATGTAAAATTGCAGTTCTTAAATGTTTCACCTGTGAATTCTGGTCATGCTGTTTTATATAGTGTATGGAATTCCGTGTAGAATACTTGCGATGTGTTTTGATACTTCTGCGTTGCTGGAAGCTCCAAATTGGTATTTTTCTTCCTGCAATTGACTCGCAGCCACCACAGGGAATCTTATTAACATCCTGAGATGCTATTTCACACCGCTTAGCTGAAGGAAGCTGTATATATAGGCCCATTGGAAATGAAGGAGGGAAAGAAGATAAAATGTTCCATTGCCATGATCAGACTTTTCTTGTATTTTTTCAAATTTTTAAAATAGGAAGTCTTATCAAAAAAGTCATAAAAAATTGCTGTTGTTAGTGATCTTCGGCATATGATAGACCCTTGTATTTTGTCTTGAAAAAACTTGATATTTTAATTTTTTTAATGCAAGGATTATTATTATCTCGGAGCTAACCTTAATTATTTCATTTCTCCCAAATTACTTTGAATCCAAACCTATTTTGAGTCTTTAACACTGCATTATCTGTTTCTCTCCTAGGTCCGTTTCAATCCTAATCTTGATGCCCATGGATGGGTTATCTCAGGAGGGCAGTCGGGCATTGTTAGAGCACACTGCGTACAGAGCCTTAACACGCATGTAAGCAGGAAGCTGATTAAAGAGTGTCAAGCACAGTTTAAATCCATGTTTCAACCGAAGGAAACTGATGTCATGGAGAATCCTGTTTTATCTGTTGTCAGTCACAATATAGAATTAGCAGTACAGACAGAATGATACACAGCATGACTGGAGATATAAAGACACACTCTCAATATGGTTTTACCGCAATACAAATTCCTAGCCAACAAATGCAGTAATGATACGAATACTAAATGGCCATGGCACAATAGCTGATCATGGTACAGGTATGGTTCTCTGCCAATTCCGCTGTATACGTTTCTGAAGTTTGTTGTGGAATAATATGTCTTATTTAAATGTGCTCCTGAAGCTCAACCTGTTGAATTGACACAGAGTTTTCCAAATTAAATAAGCAACGGAAATACTTTTTCCATTTTTCAGTTCTAATTATAAAGTGTTGCTGTTATTTTTCTTGAAATTCAGTCACTTTTTTTCAGTTATTTTTGAGGGGACGGGAAATAAAGGTAATTGAAGGTGAATAGAATCTATTCAAATATTGTGTCTGGGCTTTAGACTTTTTTTTTAGCTGCTATGAAATGTTTTATGAAACCATCGTTATAAAAATCATGAAACATCACAATAATTTTTAAAACATTTCTTTAAAAAATTTACATGTACTCCTTCCTTTATGCGCTTGTTTTATATTTAACCTTCAGCCCTCAACATATAGTAGGCTCTTTCCTTAACATTGCTTTAAAAAGTGTAAAAGCAAAAATTTAAGTAGAGAATGTTGTGTTATTAGTGTCACAGCTAGAAACGGAACATTTGATTGGCATGAAATCAGGGTATTACCCATTGCATCCATTTTATGGCCAGACACTTAAGGGATTCATTTTCTCAAGTATTCATTTGACCAAGAAAACAATTTAATCAGATGCAAATAATGAGGCTTTGCAGTCAAGAGTTGGCATGCTGGGTTGGAGGTTAATATATAGGTGACTAGTGTGCCTTAAGTGCTCGAAGACATTTTTTTAAATAAAAACAAAAGTGTAAATAGCCTGCAAACCATGTTGCCTGAGCTAAATGGGCCTCTAGTTTATTGCATGTTTTTTTTAAAAAAAACAATTAAAAAAAAATACATTTAATGTTATTTGAACACAATCTTTTACTGGCTGCATTTGGTAATGCAAAAGAGAAAGTGGGGCTCCAGGCACAATCCCTCAAACTATTCATTGTGTTGCCTCTTTTGTGCTGATGATATGCTGGTAGAAGGATGAAAAGCTATTGTGGGTGCAACAATGATGATTTTGTTCATTCCAGTCACAAATGATGCATTTGTGCTCGGATCAACTGGTGCGCGTGCTCACACTTTCGGTATGTACAGGGTGAATTGTCTGACACAGATGCTATATTGGATCCAAGAATGTTATTGAAGAGCCAGCATTTGATGTGTTGTTTTAATCTATATTGTTTCTTCGGAAAACTATGAATATTTGCTGTTTTGAAGGGTCTCGAGACCAAGGTAATCCTCCAAATAAAATTGTTCAATGGCTCCATGGTTGTTTGTGGGACACTGCTGTGCACAAATTGGCTGCTACGTTTGCCATCAAATACACAGTCAGTCCACTTCACACTGAAATCTTGAGGCCACTTAAGATATATTCAACGACATTATAAGGTGTTATACCAAATCCAAAGATAAATCTAATTGTAACTGCATTTTACATTTTTATTAACGAAATTTCATGATTTTTATAACTTGGTTATCGTAAAGTGGGCATTGGCCAATTTGCTCACACTGAGCATTGCTGCCATTTCCATACTGCTTTTTGAAGGTTGAACTGCACTGTGTGTAAAATTGAGGCTTTTAGCTAAAAACCTTTATAAAAGTTTATATTCCTTGAACAACTGAACAGGTCTTGCCCCTTTCTCTCCCTGGAAGTTTAATTCTGAATTTACTGTTTATTTTGAATTATTTTGTAAAGATTTGTAAAGTTTTACGTCATATGTCTTTAATTTGTGACTGCACGTAGGTAAATCTTTCAAAGACCAGTAAATCTGTAACTTGCTGATGTATTTGGGTGCATCTTGATGTACAACTACCTCAAATACAGAAAACAATTTTGCCATACTTTTTGTCAACTTGGCTGCATTCTGATCAATGATGCATTTATTGGCTATTTTGGTAAGTATTGTATCCATCTCTTAATACTGTAGACTATTTGCACAATGTTTCAGTTGCACAGTGATGTCTTTACCACTGAATGCTTCACTCTGGAATAACTGAATATTACATTTCACATATGTGTAGCACTGATGTCCTTACCTTTGTTGATTAAATAGGGGATTTGTAGTATTTCTACAATTTAGATATCTTACAATCTTTTTAATGAGAGTACATGATCATTTTAAGCTTAATGATCCATTATTGCCATGATAACTTTCTCTACTCTTTGTTATTGCCTCCCCTCCTGTGGTAGGATTACAACTTCCCTGGCTTCTATTGTAAAAAGGATGTTGCAGAGATGTGCATTTTCCATACAGAATGCAATGACATATTATCGCTTAAACTATATAGCTTAAATTATATATCTTACTTACACATTGGAGTTTTTCAGTGCACTGTATAACATATCTGCTGTGGTTTTTAATTTCTGCCTAACTGCAGTAGATGTTTTTTAGGTTAGGATTGTCATTCAACATTTTATGATTTATATTGAGTCTACAACAGACTGTTATTAGAAGAACATTTGAATTTATTCCTATTTGAAACTAATTTGATAACATTGTTCATTGATAAACAAGCCATTTGAAATAGACAGCATGAGGAGATGCTGTCCAGTGATAATAAGTGTATGCAACATTGCATTGCCTAACAGTGTCGTAGTGGGCTATCCACAGTTTTCCCCCGAGCAATCTTCTAAACTTTCACCAACAAAATACACAGTCACACCACTTCACAATATATCCAATGAAGCACTTTGAGATGCCTCAATGACATGAGAAGGCGCAATATCAAATGCAAGAATTGTTATTATTAAGTAGGTGAGAGGTTTATTAATAATTACGATTAATGTATAAATTATCTCCTTTTTTTAAAATCCATTTTGTTTTTTCACCTCCAAAGTTCTTCCCAATGCCATTACATAAGCAAGTGATCAGGCAGCTAATTTGCTTGTAAGTCTCTGCCAATGTTGTTGTGTTACTAGTTGCTAGCATCTGAGAGGTAGTGACTCAGATGCAGTTGAATTCCAATTATTTTAAACCATATTGTTGCTGCTCAGTAAGGTAAAAATGCTTTTTCTTTTAGTTAACTTCAGGAATCCTTACCTTTTCCCTTGCATGAAAAAGATATAGTAACTTTAGGGTAGCCGTGTTGTGTAAAATTTTCTTCACGTTTTTGATGGGTTTTGTGCTTGTCAAGGTGAAGGATGTCATTGCTGGGAAATTTCATTAGTATTAATATCAAGCACTTCCAGGTCAATCTGGCTTGATGACAAGTGGAGTGCCCTGAACTCTGCTCCAGCCTTGCACCTCAGGCCAAGGCTAGAAGAACATTCCCCACTACACCATGGTGACATTTCTTCATTTCCTACATCACTCTTTATATGGCGTCTCAGAGCCAAATTGCTAGTTAGTATCCAATATTTGTGCTGTAAACCCACAACAACTTCTTAGATCTGCTGATCCCGAAAAATCTAAAGTACATTCAGAGTTCCACAGGTGTCATTCTGACTATGTTTGCCCACAAAACAGAGTCACTCCAGTTTACAGTATCTTGTGAAGCACTTTGGGACGTACTCCGGATGTGAATCAACTTGCATTTATGTAACGCCCTTCATGCAGATAGCATCTTGGAGCATCTTTGAAAGATGCTATATCAAATGTATGGATTATTATTCTGCACCAAACAAATCCAAAGTGTTTGGTGAAAAAAACCTTGATCTTACAAAGTTAATTTAGTCATAAATAACAGCAAGATTTACAACGTGAGAATTTTGCTGATAAGTAGGTGAGTTGTTTAAATGTAACATTTCTTAAAGGTGTTTTTTTCAGAATTTACAATGTTGTGGATGGAACATGGTAATTAAAATGGTTGTTTTTTGGGGTGTAAACTGGTCCAGTGTTACTTCAGAGATCTTGCTCTTTCCCATTGTAAATATGTTGTGGTCCATTATATTGTAGTAGTGTGCAACTTGGTGAACACTAGTGTCTGTGATGCACTTGGGGTTTTGAACATGGATATGACAATGCGTCCTGCATGTACAAAGTGTTTGTATTGTCGGATAGCCAGCCTTAATAGTGAGGTATAGCGAACCAGGTGACATTGACCTTTGAACTAGTGTCCTCGGGTACCTAGTATAATTGTTCAGTATTTAAATATGAATCCATTCAAGAAGGCAAGGCAGAACTCTTTGAACAAACATATTGGGTTGTCACCAAGAGGACAGGGTCCAATATTGTAGATCTGTGTAGTATTGAAAACTTTGTATAATTTCTGTGTACTTGACTAAGGTCCCAAACCTATACATATTTTTAATTTCTACTTTTGTTACAGTACCTTACATGAGCTTCTTCCAGTTTTTCAAAATGATTAATTGCCTTGTCTGCTAGATACAAAGAGGATTGGTGAATGTTCTACAGTAGTTTGGCTTAATTATATTGTAAATTTGTGCATACAAAGTCATTTATTAAAATGAATCTTGTAGCCCCTTTTGTTTATTTAGGAACAATAGGAGTTATGGATGTACTCCACAATGAGGCATCTTTCAAACTGACTCTGAGGCGACTTGGCTGAGTTGTTTGATTCCCTTTATTTCCACTGGTCAGTTGGCCTCACAAGTCAAACTTTTACTTGCCAAAGATGATTGGATTCTGGCATTTGTATCACCGAATCCACTCAGGGTAAGTATTAGTTGTCCTAGTTCAGATTAACCTTTTTGTTCCAGTCAATTAAAATTTTAAAATAAAAAATTTAGGTTAACAGATTTTTATCTCTACCCAATAAAAATCTTTTTTTGCAAAAGTTAAAAACAGTTTCTGATTCATTGACCTTTTTTTCCATTGTGTAATTTGATTTTTGATTGTTGCTAATGATGTTATTACCTGAGGACATTGGTCATATACCCATCATTTTCAATTAACTTTTTGCTTGCTCTTTTTATATGATCATGTTCTTACTGTGATGTTTACTGTAAATATGTCTCCCTGTGTTTTAGTAGAGTATGAACTCTAGTATACTCAGGCATTAAGACTATCTCAAAGACTGAGCGGTTATATCTTTTATATTTCAATGTTATTTTGATCTGAACATCAGAATGCAATTAAAACATTTGATTTTATTTAATGTTGGTGTATTTTCCAATTTTTATTAGAGGTAGTATTTCTCTTTTATGTGCAACCCCAGCACTTTGAGAATACAATTTGAATACAATTTATTGTTGTTTGTGGTATTTGAAGTGGCTGCATAAGCTTTTAAGAGGTTCATCATTTTCTGAAATGTTTATCATTTTTAAGCGTGGTGCCAACTGGGTGTTGATGGACCCATGGACATGTATAAATTGTGTGATGGACTCAATTCACTCTCTAGCTATCTCTGTATAAAGAAAACCCTTATCATTGGAGATGTGCTGTAAATGTGCAGAAATTTATTATCACCACAATGCTCTTGTTTAGTTTTATACCATGGATAAAACTGGTAATATTTATTAAATGAATGAAATTACACAACAATACAATCAAGAGGGTACATTCAACTTATTTTGTTTTCTGTATTGAATTCTAAATGTTCTACCTTAAGAATCATCCACTTGAAAAATTAAAATCTTGAACAATACACATTTTGTACTTGTAACTGTTAGTAATTTATTAGTTCCAAATCCTTTTCAGTCTCATAAATTAGATGCCAGTGCTACAACAACAGCAGCAACAACGTGCATTTAAACAGCGCCCTC